GCTATTCGCTGACCAGTTCCTCCCGACGCATTATCAATATATTGACCTCTTTAGCCGCGTCTGTTGATTCTTTTCCGTCGCCTGTAAAGGGAGCGCCTGTCTCTATCTATTTTACATCTACTCCTCCTTTGTTTCTTAGAGGAATAAAGCCTTGTGCATACTATCGAGTGCCACCGAGTTAATCTGTTTCTAGGCATAAGGTTGGGGTCTGTGTTTTGCTAGTATATCCTTCCCAGCTTTAATATCGGTAGGACTTGTTTACTGTCCCAACTTTATGTTTTTTGTTATTGAAGTTGAATTTGGTGATTGCTCCCTCGTGACTATTTCTCATTTTGTCGGTCCTGGGCTCCACGCATACATGTCTGAACCTCAATTATGTTGTGATCTAAAGTATATTGTTTTTGATATGGTGACATTTTTTTATCAATCATCATTGTTAGTGAAGATGAGGTCTATGTTTTCTCCAGTCTAGTAGGCTCTTATTATTTGCTGGTTTAAATTGAATTTTGGCAGAGATTTAAAAGCTCGTGTGAGTGTGAGTTTTCATCAGACTGCCTCCTGGTTTTAAATTACTTCAACAATATTATTTGCTATATTCCTCCATTTTAGGTGCCTTAAGTTAAATCCCCCAGGAGCAAGATGTTGGGTGCAGGAGCTGGAAGATTTCCAGACAGTGGTCAATTTTTAACAGCTGTTCCTGGAATTGCTGGGATGTTTCTTTCCCGGGGGCTTGTAGACTACCACAATGACTAGGTTTTGGTTCTCGACCTTTACTGCTAAAACTTCCACTACATCATTTGAGGCATTTAGTAGTTCTGTGCAAACAAGTGACTCTGCAATGTACAGGCCAACCCCCCCCCCTTTTGCCTGTTCACTCTGTCACACTGATAGGTTGTAACCTGGGGTCCATATTTCGTTGTCCAAGTGATCCCCTTTTTGTGGGTCTCAGTGAAAGCCCCGAAACATTGCCTTTGCCTCTGCAAGCAGTCCACGGATGAAAGGTATTTTGTTGTTTGTTGCTGGCTTAAGACCCTGTAAATTTGCAAAGAAGAAGTTATCGGACTGGTGGTATTGTTGGAAATGGGGGGGATTTTTTTTTCCGGCATTTGTATCTGTATCTGTTTGGTTTGGAGTGGAGGCCATCGACTGTGGTTCCACTCCAGGAATGACTGGGTTTGGTGTACGATTTCTGCCATTTCCTGCCAGTTTTTTTCCTTCCTGGCACTAAAAAACCTCTCCCTCTTGAGTGGCTGTGGCTACCCAGGTTTTTCCCATGGCCTGGATGTTTTGTATCTTTTTTTCCCCTTTAGATGGTATGCCTGGCAATTTAAGTTATAGCACAGTCTTTCCTGTACTGAAGAGGTACACATTTCAGGGTGAAAAAGCTTACAGGAAGGGAGTTTGCATTTTCCTGTTGTCATATGGGCATTGCATTTTCTAGGGTGGTCATAGTTGCATGTCCCATCCGTTTTTTCCAGATTTCCCATGCCAGCAATACCAAGTGCATAGTATGTGCACAGGCTTGGTTTCCGCTTGCCTTGGGTTTCTGTTGCTGTATTCCCTGTTGGTGCATGTTTCCCTGTCTTACTTCTATCCTCCCTAGCACCAACAATGGAGCTCCCACCAGTTGTTTTTTGGTAAGTATTATCCTCACTATTGCTATTGGAGTCCTCTTGTTTGCTATTTCCTGCGGTATTTCTAGTTTGCAATATTGGTTTTATCTTTTCTTTGACTACACTTGTTTCCCTACTATGGCTCCTGTCCCCTATGAGGTCATTTATATGTATTCCTTCCTGCGTATAATTCCCGACTACCTGGACAAAATCTCCAGCTTCACCATTACTGTCTCCCAGGACAGTATCTCCAGCTTCACCATTTCTGTCTCCCAGGACAGCACCTCCAGCTTCACCATTACTGTCTCCCAGGACAGCACTATCAGCCCCACATTTACTGACTACCAGGACATCACCTCCAGCCTTACAGTTTCTGACTACATGGCCAGTATCAAGGGCAGTACCATTCAGCCCCAGACTTTTTATGTTCCCATCTGTTGTAGAAAGCTTCCAGGTTTTCTATGAAAGCAGCTTTGATGTTGTCCTCTTTTAATACCCTTGTGATTTTAGTCCACAGATTTTCCTCATTTGGGCATACCCAAAAACACTTCTCTGTTTTAATACTGCTTGTAGCTAGTTCTTGAATATCTGCACAAGGAGCGTGACACCAATTTCCACAAAAATGACAATTTATCCATGTGGAAGCCCGTTTGTTTGACTGACCACAGACTACACACAGCTTCATAATGATTTGAATGGTTGATTTACTGCAATTCTACTAGCAATCTCTTGAATATTCTATTAATAACCTTAAATGAAGCTCTAGCTATTTGTATTTCTGTTTCTAACTGTTTTTGTATATTGGACAGCTTACCGTCACGTTCCTGATTTTTAATGTTTGTGTTTATAAGGGCTCCTACAACCCCATCCGTTTACAGGCTGCTTTATTGTCCAACGAAACCGTTTGAAACCAGTCCCGGGTTCGGACCAGTCAAGGGTTCGGACCAGTCAAGGGTTCGGACCAGTCAAGGGTTCGGACCAGTCGATCTGATCTGATCAGTGGGTCACTTATTTAAAACATACTGGTCGGTGATTTGAGCTAACACATGAAGGATCTACTGGAAATTAATCTACCCGAGTAATATGTGATTTGACTGATACAAAAGTATAACTTGCGTGTTGAAGAGCCGGTGATATCTGGCAGCTCTTACAGTGACGAACGGTCGACCTCAACCCTTGTTTATCAATCGCTGTATCTAGCTTTTCTATTTTTTTTTTCCGTCTCCACCACAATAAATGCTATATTATCACTATAGTTGACTGGTGCAAATTTTGGAGGAAGGACGCTTTTTCTGTAGTAATAATTTCTCTCGTTGTGTATATTGCGAGCGCTGGTAACTACAGGTTATATGAAATTCACAGTAACGTCTGGTATTTCAAGAAAAAGAAACTAATGAAAGTCACTCCACTCCACTAAGTACACTATAATACTGGTTGTTGCTACTACAACACTGTATTCTGCTAATCACTGGTATGACTAGATTATATGCGAGTACACTAGCAGGCCAGGAAGATTATTAAAACAGCTGACCTGTGGTAAGTTTCTGGCGACTTCTGGCACCTGCCTCTATAGGCTTATCACTTCATTTACAAATTCACCTGTTTTCAAATGACACTTTAGCCTTTATCATCAATATACTAGGGAGCCACTGTAGTATACACTATACACTATGTATACTCAATGTTATCAGGGAGACTTTCTTTCCTCTGACACGAAAAGTTCAATTATTATTATTTTGTCACACGGGACACAGGCCTATGATTCCCCTCTGGCAGTAAACTCTGCTAGGTAGTGCACACTAATTCTCCTTTTTTGACTCAGTATATAATGTTTTCCGCCCAAGATTGGTTCCAGGCGCTAGAGGGATGTATCGTATAGGATTGATGACACAAATTAAAGTTCTAGCACGTAAGAGTCTGGGGGTTATAAAACTACACTGAAAGACACAGCAATTTTTGGGCCAGCATGTACTCATATATTAAACAATATTAATTATTATTAGGAAGGAAGGACAAAAACTCACCTACATAAAAATATATCTATATTAATAATAGTAACTTATTTACAAAAAACCACCACACTCCAGTTCACATTAGCTCACTAGCACACTGCTACTAGTGACACAAAATTGTATATACTTTTATAACCAGGGAGGCTTTATGACCCCCCCCCCGCCCCAGCCTTCCTTCTTCCTGTCCGCTACTTAGCTTACAGTTAAAATATTAAATGCTCTCCAAAACACAGGCCCATGTACACACTAGGACTTTACAAATAAATGAGAGCACCAGAATATATATAGCTTCGAGTCTCCTTCAGCCAGAGATCAGTGTTTGTGTATATTTCGCCTGCTCTTGCGAATTCCTTGCATTGTTAATACCTCTAGTAAGGCTAATGCATGCAGGGGATGAGATGAAAAGCTGTAAGCCTTCTCCTTGAAAGCTGGCTGCCTTGGATCAAAGTCTAGCGCAAGCTGGACTCCAAGGTATTGGTCCAGTGTGGTGAGTTTGGTATAGCACTACGTACCTTATTCCAAGGTTCGTAGGTTCGAGTCTCCTTCTGCCAGAGATCAGTGTTTGTGTATATTTCGCCTGCTCTTGCGAATTCCTTATATATATATATATATATATATATATATATATATATATATATATATATATATATATATATATATATATGAGCGAAAATTCACGATGATCTAAACCACTGGACCATACAATCCCACAAACAACTTGAGCCTAGGGAACTAGGCATGATTCAAGTTGCGAGAACATACGATGCAATCACACCGTCGTATATCCCGGCAACTTGAAGCAAGTCTAGTTCACTAGGGTCCAGTTGTTTGCAGGATTGTATGGTACAGTGGTTTAGAGCGTCGTGAATTTTCGCTCGCTATGAAGCAGGCTAAAACAACAAGGGTTCGATCCTCCGACTATCCGCAGTGTTCTTATTGGTGTGTGTGTGTGTGTGTGTGTGTGTGTGTGTGTGTTTGTGTTTCTTTATGTCTGTGTACTCACCTAATTGTGGTTGCAGGAGTCGATTCATAGCTATTGGCCGGTCTTTTCGCTGGTCGTATGATGGAACTCCATGAGCCCCATCATACCTCTTCTTAAAGCTATGTATGGTTGCTGCCTCCACCGCATCACTTTTCGGACTGTTCCACTTCCTGACAAATTTGTGACTGAAAAAATACTTCCTAACATCTCTGTGACTCATATGAGTCTTCAACATCCAATTGTGACCCCTTGTTGCTGTGTCCAATCTCAGGAACATCTTGTCTCTGTCCATCTTGTCAATTTAAATTAGTCATATATCTTAAATTACCAGATTTTATGTTACATGTGCAGTGTTCTTTTCTCGTTATAATGAGGTTTATTTCTGGTATACAGCAGTGTGTCAAGTGCTGGGAACTCAGCTGCCTGCTTACTCTGGGAGGATGTCATTAAGTTCCTTCCATACTTCAGGAACATTGATGATCAAGGAGCAACAAAACCTCTGAAAGTCATTAGTAAGTAATTTAAACTGTAATTTGGTATTATTAGCAGAAACGATTCCATAATGAAGCATTATCCATTCACAGTCTCAAAACTTCTTGCTTGTCTTTAGCATCTTTTCAAAAATATTATTTCTAATATTTTTACATTGATTTTTTTTTGTCTCAACGTTCGTTCTTTACATTAAGCATAAATAAAGCGAGTATACATACTGCATATTGTATGATGGTAAACATGTATATGCCACGATAGGTCACACAGCAGTTGTTAGGTGTCACTGATCGGGTGATGAATTATGTTTTCTTGAAAGGGAGACATTGAGGTGGTTCTCTTATTTTATATTTCTCCAGCAATTGTTTTTTATTTCGTTTATAAAGAGAGAAGCTTCCTCCAGTCACCTTCAACTTATCAGTTTCGCTTTACGGTAATTATTACAAAATTCCTACAACTATTGGTATGTAGATGTTGTGACCAATATTGAAGAATCCATTACATTGCTTCACAAAGCCTCTGCTGTTTGGCTTTAAATAGTCAACAACGATGTTTCCTACTTCGACTGTGACGCTGAGTCAAAATGAAGTGTTTAGGTTAACATTTACATTTTTAAGAGTAAAATAATGTGTAAAATCATGTTAAATAAATTACGTAAAGTTTATCTCTTGTGAAACACTTAAATTTTTGATCACTGATGCATCTCACAGACAGAAATATTCATTTTGTTTATAAGAAGGAAAAGTTGTTACCTGGAGTATACCAGGAGAGGGTTTCAGGGGTCAATGTCAGGCGGCCAGGTCTGGGACCAGGCCTCGTGGTGGATCAGGGACTGATCAACCATGCTGTTTTTGCTGGCCACATGCAAACTTACATACGAACCACAGACCGGCTGGTCAAATATTGACTTTAGGTGCCTGGCCAGCGCCTTCTTGAAGACAGCCAAGGGTCATAGACCCCTGACCAGTCGTCACGTGAGGTCACAGACCCTGAGCTGCTTTGAGGATTAGTGTGGACGGTTACAAAGCCATGACTTGCTTTTGCAATATTTTAAAATCTGAGGTTGGAGTGTTGAAAGAGGAAGTCCTGCTTCTCCAGGAGGAAATTAGGAGGCTGAAGGTTCACCTCAGTGGGTCTAGGAGTGAGTGTGAGGTGGCTGGAGTGGTTGAGGGGAATGAGGCTTCTAGCAGTGAGATGCAGTCTGTCACTCGCTGCTAGTGACAGACTGGTAGACGGACAGAAGGTAGAAACGCCTACCAAGTGAGGAGCAGTCCAGCACCTGCTACAAGTGACGAATGGTTCCTAGTAATGGGAGGAGCATCAAAATAAGGAAAGTAAAGAGAGAAGATTTGAAGGTAGGAAATCGCTTCTCTGTTCTTCAGGATGAGTGTACTTCAGTGGCCAGTGGAGGTAAGGTACTACTTCCCCTGCTAATAGAGGTAAGCGAATTGTTGTTGTTGGTGACTCACAGGTAAGATATATGGACCGTGCTTTCTGCAATAGGAATAAGAAGATGAGAAATAGAGAGTGCTTCCCTGGAGCTGGTGTTGGTGACATAGTCAACAGGTTGGATAATATCATGTCAGGTAATAGGAACAAGCCCATTGTCTGTCTCAGTGCTAGTGGAAATGATATTGGGATTTGTAGGAGAGAAGAGATGCTAGATAAGTACAGGTCAGCAATAAATTTAATTAAGTCTAAGGGAGAGGTACCAGTCATATGTAGCATCTCGCCTAGAAGGGGAGTGGGCAATGGATGGATGTCTAGGGCAATTGGTGTAAATTGCTGGCTATACAGATACTGCAAGGAACTTGCAATCCCATTCATTGACAACTGGGACAATTGTTATGGCAAAGATGATGTGTATGCAAGGGATGGGGTACATCTCTCTGGGGCAGGGGTGGTACCACATGCAAACTCAATCGAGAGGGCCATTGCTGACATGCCTAGGATTTTAAACTGATAGAAGATAGAGGTATGGGTATGTGTAGGGAACAGGCAGGCTACAACACTAGGGCTGAAGACAGTAAATGTATAAAAGACATTCATCATGAAGTTATAAATAAAGACAATGGATCAGGTCAGCAAATGAAGGGAGACAGCAGATGGCAGCAAGGGACTAGCTCCTTTAAGGTTTACTATACTAATAGCAGGAGTGTAAGAAATAAGATGGATGAGCTAAGATTAATTGGAAGTGCAGGAAACATAGATATTATTGCTAAAACAGAAAGATAGAGAGATGCCTTCTGAATGTTACATACAAGGCTATAAATTATTACACACTGACAGGGTCAACAGGAAGGGTGGTGGAGTAGCGATGTATGTCAGAGACAATTTAAATTGTTGTGTTAGATAGGATATAAAATTTGAAGCGTCAGCCACTGAATCTGTTTGGTTACAGCTTCTCGAGGGCCGTAAAAAGCTAATCTTGGGGGTGATTTACAGGTCCCCAAATCTTGATAGGGAGTGCAGTAAACTTCTATGGGATGAAATTCGTAAGGCAACTACATGTAAAAATGTTGTGCTAATGGGAGATTTCAAGTATAGATGGATTGACTGGAGCAATTATCAAGTGACTTTCTTGATAAGATTCAGGATTGTTTTTTGAGACAGTTTGTGACAGAATCAACTAGAGGAAATAACCTGCTTGACTTGGTTCTTGCCAGCAGGGAATCGTTAATTAATAATATTGGGTTTAATGATGAGCTTGGGGAAAATGATCACAAATCACTCAGTTTTAATATATCATGGAATTACCTTAAAATGGCAATCAAGTCTCTGTCCCTAACTTCCACTTGGATGATTTCATAGGGCTGAAAAATTACCTGGGTGGGCTGAACTGGAATGACCTGACTATGGGTTAGGTAGGAGGTGATGATTGCCGATATGACGTTTCCCAGAGCATAGTTCTAGCTGCTCAGACAACTTGTTTCGAATAGGGAAATCAGATAATAAAACATCTCTATGGTCAAAAGAGAGGCATATATAGGCGAATCAAAAGAGGAGAGGGCAATTAAGAAATCAGTATATTCAATAAAAGAGAGAAATAAAAAAAGTGGATTAAGAAAAGAAAAAATTGTTATAACGTTAAAGTTGCAAGAGAATCAAAGATTAACCCAAAAGGATTCTTTCAGGTATACAGAAGTAAGATTAATTGCTGAGGCAATCTGTAGCCATCTTGAAAAGCATAGATTAATCAATGAATCTCAACACAGTTTTACAAAAGGGCGTTCTTGCCTTACGAATTTGTTAACTTATTTTACTAAGGTATTTGAGGAGGTAGATCATGGTAATGAGAATGATATTGTGAATATGGACTTCAGTAAGGCTTTTGATAGAGTCCCACATCAGAGACTATTGAGGAAAATTAAGGCACACGGAAACGGAGGAGAATTTTTTTCCTGGACAGAGGCATGGTTGACAAATAGGCAGCAAAGAGTTTGCATAAATGGGTAGAAATCAGAGTGGGGAAGCGTCACGAGCAGTGTTCCTCAGGGGTCAGTGTTGGACCCGTTGTTGTTCACAGTTTACATAAACGACAAACATGAGGAAATAAATAGCGACATAAGCAAATTTGCTGATGACACCAAAATAGGCCGCCTAATTCATTCTGACGAGAACATTAGAGCACTCAAGGAAGATTTGAATAGACTGATGCAATGGTCAGAGAAGTAGATCTTAATATTATGTAGATCTTAATATTACTGATTACGAAAAAGATTTGGGAATTCTGGTTAGCGGTTAACAGTGCATAAGTGTTCGCAATAAAGCGAACAGAATCCTTGGCTTCATATCAAGAAGCACAAATAATACGAGTCCTCAGGTTGTTCTTCAACTCTATATATCCTTGGTTAGGCCTCATCTAAATTACGCTGCTAAGTTTTGGTCACCGTATTACCGAATGGATATAAATGGGTGTGAGCTGGACCAGACTAGCTTGTGCTACTAGGTCAGATGCAGTGCTCCTTCCTTAGGTGAATGTAACCTGACCTGACTAGGTTGGGGCATTGGCTTAAGCCGGTAGGAGACTTGAACCTGCCTCTCATTGGGCAGTGGGCCTGTTGTAGTGTTCCTTCTTTCTTATGTTCTTATGTTCTAATCCTCCTTATGTATGCTTGGGGGCATTTCAACAGTCTTGGGTCCCTGACACTTACTGTTTTGTCTCTCAGTGTACTCGTGGCGCCCCTGCTTTTCATTGGGGAAAGGTTACATCTCCTGCCAAGTCTTTTGCTTTCATAGGAAGTGATTTTCGTGTGAAAGTTTGCTACCAATTCCTCTAGAATTTTCAAAGTGTAAATTATCATGTATCTTTCTCGCCTGCATTCCAGGTAAAACAAATGAAAGGACTTCAACCGTTCCCAGTAACTTAGGTGCTTTATCATACTTATGTATGCCGTGAAAGTTCTATGTACACTTTCCAGGTCAACAATTTCGCCTGGCTTAGGTGGCACTTATTGTACAACAATATTCCAGCCTATAGATAAGAAGTGATTTGAAGAGAATCATCATGGGCTTGGAGTTCCTAGTTTTGAAAGGTCGCATTATCCTTCCTATCATTTTTCAAGCACATGAGGTAGATATATTGTTGTGGTCTTTGAAGGTGAGATCCTCTGACATTATCCCTCCCAGGTCCTTCACATTGCTTTTTCGCTTTATCGCACGATTAGAATTTGTTGTATACCTTGATTCAATTTTAATTTCCTCAGATTTTCCATATGTGAGAAATTGAAATTTCACGTTATTGAACTTCATATTGTTTTGGGTGTCCCATTTGAAGATTTGGTTGATGTCCGCTTGGAGTATTGCGGTGTCTTCGATGGAGGACACTGTCTTGGCAATTCGGGTATCATCTGCAAAGGAAGACACAGAGCTATGGCTTACATCTCTGTATATGTCAGATATAAGGATGAGTAATAGGATGGGAGCGAGTACTGTGCCTTGTGGAACATTGCTTTTCACGTAGCTGCCTCAGACTTTACTCTGTTTACTATTACTCTTTTGTGTTATACTTGTTAGAAACTTA